TATATATATATATATAAATATTGGAAGTAGGAAAAAAACTACACTTTCATCCTGACAAGCCTGTTTCGTGATCTCTCACTCTTCAGGGGACAATATTTATATTACGCTCTACTTTAACATATGGAGCACTCTACTACGGAAAAATCAAAACACAGACTTCCTATATATATATATATATTAGTCAGTTAAAAAGTGATATACGATCCTGTCAATGTAAGAATTTGAGTCTTAAACAAGCATCAGGTCTGATATGGGGGTCTGGACCCCCTGGACCTCCCCCTGGATCCGCCACTGCACAGGACCATCTCATGCTTTCTCTTTTTTTCCTCTCCCTAACCTTAGTACAGTAGCAGCTGGGCCTCTTTGGAGGGGAGAGTGCCTGAACTCTTGCCCAGCCAGTAGGTAAGTGAACTAAGATAGGTTTTGCCCAACAAAGAAAGTTTACATGTCGTGGACAATGGGACTGAACCACTTAAATTGGTTCTGCACTAAAGTGCATGCATACTGGACTATCCTGTAGACACAGTATTAAAATATTTACATCTAAAGAGCAGAATATGCCTTTATAGAGACTAAGCTTACTACCTTGAAAAAAATAAAATTAATAAGCTCTTCTACCTGCAAAATAATATATTTCGAAAGTATTTCTTACATGCTAAATATTATAATAATAAAAAAGGGTTTCACGAAAGATTTTTGTACGATTGCATTTTGAATTCATAGACTATGACATCTAAAATTTGTTTTTGGCCAATCCAAAGTGGTACATTTGTAAACTTGTGCTTAACAATAGACTTGAAATGAGCAAGCAAGCAACTCTCATTTTGGCATTAACACCGTATTGGATACTAAGTACCATCAATAATTGTACATAATTGGACAATGCATCATCTCACAGGCTGTATTCACTTCAATTTTCCTTTTTTTCTCATGTAGATGTATGGACAAAGACAATAATAAGAATAGAATTATTCTGTTCTTTTAAGAAACAAAACACTGTTTTTTTGAGAATTCTGTTCAAGTTGTAATTAAGATTGATTAACTTGTGTAATACGATTCTGTCTGTAATCATTCTTCAGGGGCACCCAACGAGAACATAGTTCAAAAAACATAGCATTGTTGAACGTATTTTAGTATTTAAATGGTAGATGAAGGCATATTTTTATCCCCTAAAAATTTTTCATCTGTTCAGATTTCCTAGCTGAAAGTCTAGTGATCCGAAAATCAAAGGGATCAAAAGTTACCTTTTCGAAAATTTCAGCCAGAAAAAAGGCTCCCGAAAATTCTAGGTGACCTTTTTAGGGTAAAAATCCGTTAAAAATGGGCAATTATGCCACTTTTTAGATGTTCGAAAATCCTAGGAGAGGCAGGCAAGCAAAAAATTTTACAACAAATGTTCCGAAAATTCTAGATCTCAAATCGTTTTCTGAACAGATATTTTCCAAAATTGACATTGGGTGCCCCTGATTCATAGGTATAACAAACGCTGTATTTGAATGCATTTCTGTTTGATCTAAGTAAAGATTTCGGCTCAAATAAAAACATAATATTGCACTAAACCTGGTTGTATTACTGTGCTATTAACTTCTGAGTTAGGAAAGAAATCCTATCCACTCAACCTGAGTTAGTTCTAGGGTGTTCTTTCTTCAGATTCCAAGGAAAAGGAAGAAGAGAAAAGACTTCGTCTTCATTTGAAGGCCATATATTGGTTTAAAGATGGATCAACATTTTCTGGTACTCACAGAATTATAACCAAAAATGCCTTCAAAAATGATGCATAATTATGGTGAAACGTTTTAAGAAAAAAAGTGGTTGATTTGGTGTTGTGAGATTGACCGCAGTCCAGGTAGTAAAGTATGTTTAGATGTATGTGATTCAAAAGAATTGTAATGCATTAATTTGTATGGGCAAAATTGATACATGTTGAATCATTAAACTTTTAAAGTTTTAAATACAATTAGACATGTACACCCTATTGCCAAAACGTTTCAAATTCTTAGAACTAAACAGAGTAGGGAAACAGTTGCTAAAATTCTTGACAAAGTTCATGAATAATTCGCTGAGCCATCTGAAACTCAACTAGTGCCCAGCCATGACAGCCAGAGGACAGAAATGGAGCCATGAGATCTTCAATGAATGCCAACTGTGGCCACATGGAAGCAACTTCCCAAGGGTCCATTTGGAGCATCATCAAGACAAGCAGTGGCAACAGGTCCTCTGCATTCACAGCTGCTGCAAATGTATCCTTCCCACTTCGCATTCTCAGTTCTTGCACAGCATTGGTGATTTTCCGAAGCGAAGATGTCAAGCACTTTAACTTGGCAAGTGGACTTGTCACCTTGAAAATGTCTCTCATGTTCTGCAGGGCAGAGCCAAAGTGGTCTTCAAATGTTTCTCCCTCAACCATAAGATTTGACTTTTTGTCAATATCACTTTGGCTTTTAGAAAGTGTTCTTGTTAATGGTGGTTTTCTGAAGGCATTACTGTCCTCTTCTTCATCTGCTTCACCTGTTGTTTCCCAAATATTTATGAGCTGACCCATGGTTATTGACCGTTCTGGTGCACTACAACTTATGATAGCTTCAGCTGCACCGTTGGTCTTCTTTGGATGACCTACATCGAGTTTGTCACTTGGTTGTTCAGCATCTTTGGCAGTTACTGTTTTTGAGCGATCACGAATGGCACTGATGCATAAGCTTCGAAAAGAATCCACGTTAGTGGGAGGGAGTTCTTCAGCTTCAACACCAAACTCATCCAACTCAGTAAGCATGTCATAAGAGCCACTTAGACCATTATCTACGACATCCATAGAATCTAAAGTTCCATTCATGTAAGCTTGTGAAAAAGGCCGCAGATGTTCTAGATTAACAGAT